GACCCAGACCCCAAACTCAAAGCCATATTAAAAACCCAAAATGCTACATCACAGCCACCTGCTCAGGACATCACATCAGAAAACTCAAGAAATTACACCTCAAGAACTCAAGAAGTCACAACACAGCAAATGACCCAGGATATCACAGCACAAGACCAAGGATACCACAGCAATAAATCTCACAAGGTCATCACACAACCCATTACCCAAGCTGTTACTACACAGGAGGCTAATCAAAAAGAGATCAAAACACAAACGACCCAGGAGATTACAACGCAAGACCCAGGATACCACAACAAAAGAACTCACAAGCCCATCACACAACCCATTACCCAAGCCGTTAAAACACAAGAGGCTAACGACCCAGGAGATGACAGCACAAGATCCAGGATATCTCTACAACAAAAGGCCATTACACAGCCCATTATACCAACATCAACTCCATCAACCAATCAAGAGGCTGCAGCACAGCCAACCAGCCCAGCACACCATCCCCCACCACTTGTATATATAGAGAGATGGCAGCTCCGGTCACACACTGCTTGCACTGGCACTAAGCCGAAAGCACCAGCCTGAAGATGGCGAGTGGGACCTCGCCGAAACGTTGCCTAGATACTTTGAATCTTACGCGGGAGAGAACCCGAATAACCAAAGATCCACATACAAATACCCGCGAGAACCTCAGAAAACATATATATGTGTGTGTGTGTGTGTGTGTGTGTGTGTGTGTGTGTGTGTGTGTATATATATATATATGTATATATATATGTATATGTATGTATGTATATATATATGTGTGTGTGTATATATATATATATGTGTGTGTGTGTGTGTGTGTGTGTATTATATATTATATAAATTTCAGTATAAAATACTGTATATATCATATAAATAAAGTGAAAACTAGGCAGAAGGACAATGTGTAGTGCATTATTCGGTAATTCTTGATAAAACAGAAGGCAAGGGAAGTCCACCTTTCATATAGACATACATTTGGTGAGGAAGTGTGGAAAGCTAACCATACTTATCCTGGTAAAAAGTAGATTAAGGAATAACAGCATAATTTATTAGGACGCCAGGCAGAAAATGTATTTACAGTATATTCTGTTGCTTCAGAGAGGTGTATGGAATGAATGGATGAGAAGTTAAAGGAAATCATATGGTGTCCTAATACTGGGAGTGGTTTGTCCTGTTCTAATAAACCAGTGGGTTGAAGTTTTGGGAATATTACATTAGTGTCTCGTTATGTTAAGATGTAATTAATGTAAGAGTTTACTTGCATATTGGGCACTGTATAGAATATGTTGCAAGGTTTAAGTTGCCAATTAAAATATTTTCCTGTATCAGATTAAAAAATGGTCTTACTCACAGAGAACAGGAAGTTATTCGAAAGGCTGTAATTATAAACTATCTCTGCTGGATAGAAAGGTCTAATGCCTGACCCACAGGTTCCAGGTTTGGCTGTTACATTTCCCCAGTTATGTAGAGCAGTGGTCCCCAACCTTTTTTGTACCAGGGACCAGTTTCACGCAGAAACACTTTTTCAAGGACCGGGTAGGGGCATGAAGGTTCCAATAACAAAAACCTTAATCACCTGTTGCGATGAACCCGTAACTCAGGTAGGAATCTTGGTATTTTCTTTTAAATGCAGCTTTCTTTTTGCAGGCAGTCTGTGACCCTTCTGCTGTCTCATCGTTGTCTCGTTTACCCTTTCCAAAAAAACTCTCCAGTGAACTCTGTTTCTGGCTCATTTTGCAAGGGCTAGCTTGCATTGCTGATGCAGGATAAATATGCGCCAAAGAGTCAAGCGCGGAAGTTAGGCGAGGGCAGAAGTGGTTGTCTTTCAAAATAAGACACCCGGAAGCAAAAACATATTTTTATATATATTTTAATCACGATTATTCATTCTTTGCGGCCCGGTACAAAATGATCCACGGACTGGTACCGGTCCAGGGCCCGGTGGTTGGGGACCCCTGATGTAGAGGGTCATATTCAGCTCTTTCCTCCATGAACACAATTGTGACGGTTGAACCCAACAACCTGTTGTTCCTTTTGTGCACCCTGAACTACCTCCACACTCAACTTGCCAATATTAAAGGGAGAAGCATGAGAACAAAGTCTTGCATCTGCCAGTTTCTTCTATTACCAAATGATGGGATTAGGTAGTCATAGTGGTACTCAGCTGGCTCATGGCTGTCTTATCTCTTTCTCTTTTGATAACATGCCTCATCTTTTCCAAGCAGCATATAAATGTATGGACATACCAGAGGTGGTATTCAGCAGGTTCTAACCAGTTCTGGAGAACCAGTAGCAGAAATTTTGAGTAATTGGAAGAACCGGCAAATACCACCTCTGACTGGCCCACCCCTGCCTCCATCTATTCTCTGCCTCCCGGGTCCCAGCTGATCAGCTGGGTCTTCTTTTGTTGCCCTGCACAGGAGAACAGAGCTGGAAAGCAGGTTAGTGGGTGGGGAGGGAATGGGGATTTTGCAGTAACCTTCCCCTGCCATGCCCACTAAGCCATACCCACCACGCCACGCCCACAGAACTGGTAGTAAAAAAAAATTGAATCCCATCACTGGAACATACAAATCAGGATTACTGTGTAAATGTAAGAAGTGATTTGAAGAGAGTTTTAAAATGCACAAAAAGTTCTGAATTTGTATTACGTGAAGTAGGCTTATTTAATATAAAGCACATCACCTGTGGTATTTTAAATGAGGAATTGACTGGCATCAGTTATTGATGACGATGTCCTGCCTGAGCCATTGTAACAACGGTCCAGGAAATGTGAGAAAACCAGCATTGGAAGAACTGTGGTGGCAGTGGTTAGAATGCAGTTCTGCAGGCTGCTTCTACTAACTGCTGGCTGCCAGTAGTTCAGCAGTTCGATTCTCAACCGGCTCAAGGTTGACTCAGCTTTCCATCCTTCTGAGGTTGGTAAAATGAGGACCCAGATTGTTGGGGGCAAAAGGCTGACTCTGTAAACCGCTTATAGAGGGCTGTAAAGCACTGTGAAGTGATATATAAGTCTAAGCGCCATTGCCATTCTGCCTTTCACAGGTATAAATTATACAGCATATCCCTTCCAAGACAATGCATACCATCCGTCAGATACCCATAACAACAGCTGTGCAACAGTTCAGTTCCTTAGGGCCTTTTCTATTTTTATACATGTATATGGATATAATACGGTTAAATTTGTTCTTATTCTCCAGTTTATATAGTGCTATGGAAATATTTTTTTAAAATCAATTATTTGTCCGTAGCTTAATGCATGATGAATTGAATTGGACTTGGGAGTTATAAACTGAGTCCTGGGGTTTTTTATTATAGCAATGTTAAACATTGGCAAATCTATTCATAAGTTGGTGAACACTTGTTAATTATAGTTACAGTTGCTTGAAATCATTGTCAATATTTTAAAAAAGTGCTTAACATACAGTACTTTAAATTGAAGTACGCTTTCTCTGCAAAATTAGTGATACTAAGTTATGCTAACCCTTTAAGTTCTGCCTTAACTAGATTTTACAAAAAATGACTTTTTAAAAAATGAATCCTTTTATTTTTCATCTTCCATATAGCATTATCTGCATCTTTATCAGATACTCTGAGGATTCTCTCTTCTGATATCAGAATGCGACAACTTGCCACAGCCAACTTGCTATGGCCACCTCACAGTGAAAATTCACTGTGGCCAACTCACCATAGCCAACTCACTGCAGAACAGTTCACCACAGGACAATTTATCAATTCAGTTTAATTATTTAAAATAGATAAAAATTGTTCTAATTTTTGTCATTCAGACTTCATTCTGTCCTCCTTTTGCATCTTTTCTTTTAACTATTCTATTCCGCCATTTCTTTGATATCAGTGTAACTCTTGCCCTGCAGTGAGTTGTCCTGCAGCGAATTGGCTGTGGGAAGTTGTCCCATGGCAAGTTGGCCCTGGTGAGTTGTCCCATGACAAGTTGGCTGTGGTGAGTTGGCCACAGTGAATTTTCATAGACCCTTCTAATATGCCTACCAATTGGACAGTTCCTTTTCTGTGGTGGAGGCACTTATGAGGGGTTTTCTGTCTAACGTCTACTTTTGAATTGGTAGCTTTAAAACCTTGGAAAAAATATAATATGATACTACAGCCATTTACTCATGGTAGTAAGTTTCCTTTAATTTAACTTTTCTACAGTCTTGAAGTTGAAATGCTTTATTTTTATGTTGGCTTTCTGGTTTACTGCTGCCACATTTTTATACCGATTGTTGTAGTAAGCTTTAATAGCAGTTAAAGGATTTTATATAGGTCATGTTTAAGATATTGGGTTTATAGGTTAGATGTATATTATGTCACACGCTTAAATATAGCACCTTTCCATAATAAGAAAAGACCCATAAAAGCATGCTGGCAGTTGATACTTTGAAGATAATTACAAAAGGTACTTCAACCTAAACGTCCTACTTCAGCTGGATAAGCTCTTTAGCATTTATTGCTATGTGTACTTTACCAACTTTACATTGAAATTCTAGATGGAGTTGAAATGGCCATTCTTCTGTTCCATTAGATAATTGCCAAATATTGTTAACAAAGTGATTAATTTTTGAGGTGTGTGTGTGTGTGTGTGTGTGTGTGTGTGTACCATAGCATTATATAATAACATGACCTGATGCAAGCTTCTAGTAAGGAAAAGACTGGTGGGTTGTAGGATTTAGGTAAATGAGAAAAGAAATAGAATGAAGGCACAAAAATATATTTATCTCATTTTAATTTTTCTAAGTATGCACCATGTATTATTAATTATAACTAAAATAATCTACATCTTCTTAGTCGTCTGATGGCAAATCTACTGTCCCTATGACAGCCTGACTACAAGCATCATATTTGCATTACAAGACTACTAATAATTATACAGTCCCAAAGAGCTCAAACCACAAACAACCCAAAACAGTCTGAATGATGCTGAACCATACTTGAAATTTGTATTTGGTGAAGTATGTGGTTCAACTTCACATGAGATGTTTTGATTTCTGCAGGCTGCCAATAATTGTGTCCAAAAGGCTTCTATCATCTTTTTCTAAAAGAGAAAGAATAAAAAATGTGAACAGATGCTGCATTATTGAATGTTGCCACCCTGAATCATTTTTTGTGATATGGGCAGCTGTACAAATTTGATAAATAAATAGAAAGTTTATTACTGAACTGCAGGGAAATCCTGTTCATAGTCAAATTCTCAAGGCATTTGTTTCTTACTCTTAAGGTCAGTACTTGATAATAGGGTGGGGGGTGGAGGAAATTTTAAAAAAATAATTGCACGTAATAGCTAACTTCCTGGCTTGCAAGAATTGTATGTGTTCAATAACTTTCTAAAAACAAAAAGTAAAAGGACCATCCACAAAAAGGGATAAGGGAAACCAGAACTTTTGTGGATCCTGAAGAACTGAACCTGCATATTTCCTCATTGGGTGGGAGGTTTAGATAGGCACTGGCTGAAGCAGTGACTACATGCAACAATGAAACTGAATGAAATAGGCTTCTCTCTTAGATCCCGGTGCGTTACTACCTTCAAACCCCTTTCTTCTTCTGTAACTAAGTATACTAACACCCAAGATGTCAACTTTGACACCTCTCCCCTGATATTAGGTGACTCAAGGCCTTTATCAAGGGCTTTATACCATTCCAAGAAAACTCCTTTGATGCCATTCCTTAAATTCATGATATAAAAATGTCACAATTTTTGTATTAAATGATCTGCAGCCTCATCAAAATTTTGAAATTTCCCCAAGTTTGAGACTAGTTGTGGCCATCTCTCTGTCAGAAGGGGGAAAAAAATATTCAAGTTCTTTCCCTAAACTAGTACAAATAGTATCAGCTTCAGTAGAAGTAATTTCGTGAGAGAAATTATATCATATCTGATTATGGTTACTTTTTTTTCTTTTTTGTAGCATCAAGTCAGACTTGATTCTAGGCAGTTGTCTGCATTGGTCCCTGCAGTTTTCTTGACTGGGTTTTTGGAAAGTAGATTGCCATTGCCTCATTCTTAGGGCTGAGAGTATGTGATTGGCCTAAAGTCACACAGCTGACTAGAACACACAGTCTCCCGGTTTCTATCCTGATTCCTTAATTACTGCAGCAAACTGGCTCCCTTCTGAGGCAGAATGTATTAAATTGAATGGGATAGAACCAATATCTTCAACCTATGCCAAAGAGGAGAGAGAACTTACCATATACTGTCAAGGTACAACTGCATTTTTCTTCCCCAAGCTCATTCTCAATTAGTATGGAGTACTCGCCGCTATCCTTGGCAGTGCATGTGGGAATCATCAGTGTACAGACACCACTTGTTGAATTGTACCAGAATTTGGAATGGGCTGTGATATTGACTTCGCCCTTGTACAATGTAACCGTTGGGCGGGGGTTTCCCAAGAAAGCACAGCTCATGGTACAGTCATGACCTCGGCACACTAGGTGGTTCTTCAGACGCGTTATAAAATGGGGAGCATGGCTCCAGTCCCGCTCATGGTACTCCTTCATCTTGGCATGGAAAAGGTCTGTCAATAAAACAATGCGATTGATTATGGGCTCCGAAAGAGAGTTCGTTTCATCAGCCTTATCCCTGTTTGTGTACGTCTCTGCTATATATTGACAGGAACGCTATGACAAAAATCAATCCTCCAGTTTCCTGAAAGATTTTTTTCCCCCTTATAAACTAGACTTTATTTTTAGGTTGCTTTAGAATTACTTTATTTGTTAAACTCATTTCCCACCTTTCTTCCAGGTATACAAAACGACGCAGATTTTTTAAAAAAAATTTTAAACAGATTGTTTTCATATAATTGGAGAAATAACAGGAGGAATGAAGGAGGAATGAGAGAGGATGTAGAAAATAAAGGCCAAAATGGTTCTGATGGCGGTAGGGCTGTGACTCATAAGTTGGGAGAGTGGTTCCAACAGATCTCAGGAACAACGTCAGAATTCTCTGTTCAGCAGAGTGCAGGGTAGAACAGCGCCCCCCATACCAGAGACCGGTTCCGTGGAGAGAGGTTTTTCCGGTGGGCTGGAGGGGTGTGTGGCTTCATGTGCTGCCTGCTTCCCATGAATGGGGCTTCGCTTGTTTGCATAGCCCGGTTTCTGGCAAGCTATGGCCCAGTGCTGGTCCACAGATCAGGGATTGGGGACCAGTGGTGTAGAGAACAGATAAGACCCTATGCAGAACTCTCAAAGGACTCAAGATTGAGGAAGATACATACTGCCCAAAAGTCAGTGGTGGGATTCAATTTTTTTTACTACCGGTTCTGTGGGCATGGCTTGGTGGGTGTGGCAGGAGAAGGATACTGTAAAATCTCCAGTCAGAGGTGGTATTTGCTAGTTCTCTGAACTACTCAAAATTTCTGCTACTGGTTCTCCAGAACTGGTCAGAACCTGCTGAATACCACCTCTGCCAAAAGTCTGAAAATGGATTTTTTATACACTTCCACCAGGTGTCAGCAACCCGTGGCTCTGGAGCCGCATGCAGCTCTTTGGGCCCTCTACTGTGGCTGCCTGTTGGGTGATCCCATCAATGGCTGGCCCCACCCCTCGCCCTCCCCTGCCCTCCCAGTCACTCCTCGCCTGGACAGAGAAGGTAAAACACAAAAAACAGAAATGAGAGGGAGGGAGGAAGAGAGAAAGAGAGCCATTTCCCACAGAAAACACCGAGAGCCACAAAACCTTGGGAGGAGTGGGGGGGGGTGTCATGTGACTGGGTGGGAGTGACATTGAGTTGGCCAAGCCCACCCAGGTTTTCTGGCTCCCAATGTTTTCTGTGGGAAATGGGTCCAAATGGCTCTTTGAGTGTTTAAGGTTGTGGACCCCTGACCTACACACACACACTTGATCAAGTCACATTTTCCCCACAGCAACAACCCAGCTGTCAATGCCTAAGGCAGCCATAGAATTCACCACCTTCTGCTTTTTATGCCAGCAGCTTCACCATTACATCAGATTTGGCTCTCTTATATAGCCATCCTTCTCAGCAAGGACTAGACAGTTGTAATCACTGTTCCTGTTTGGTAGTTTGGGTGAAAGAGAGTGACTGATCGAAACTCTAAAAGTTGCCCCTTTTTAAATAAAAAATTAAATATTTACATAAATATTTACAATATTTACATAAATATTTACAATATTTACATACAAGCCATGCCTAGCCAGTCACGTGACCACCAAGCCACACCCAGCCAGCAAGCCATGCCCACCCAGTCACATGACCAACAAGCCACACCCACAAATTAGGTCATACCCACAGAACCGGTTGTTAAGAAATTTGAATCCCACCCCTGGAGACATCCATACTTACCTATATCTTTATCGATATACCAGGAATCTTTTGAATCCAAAGGATCACTGTCACCGATGTCATTGCGGGCAATCACCCGGAAGAAATATTTCCTGCCAGGAAGCAGACCAGTAACAGTATACTTGTTATTGTACACTTTTTCCTCTGCAGTGAACCAAGTGGCAGTGCTGGTGTCACGTTTTAGAATGACATAATGGGCATCGTCATCCTCCTTCACATCTGGAGAATGATCCCACTTTAGTGTTACAGTGTTTGGCACTTCTTCGTAGAGGTTCAGATTAGTAGGTGGCCTTGGGAAGTCTAAGGTAGAAATACAAAAAGGAGAACCAGAGTTTCTTTTCTCTTTCTAGTCATTCATCAGTTAGTCCCTGGCAATAATTATAAGACATTTTTTCTTATTTATTTCTTGAATTTATTTGCCGCCTGTCTCATTGTGAGGTGATTCTGGGCAGCTTACAACATTAAATCCTTGGTTTTTTTAGATATATCTTTGATGACCTGGCTTTGAGATATTAAGCCGTAAAGAGTGGCAAATTGTCCAAAACAAGCATTGTAATGTATACTGCCCTTCACCGATTGGCTGACATTATGGGTGTTTTACACTGTTGGTCCATGGTTCATGAACAGAAATATAGATCTTGGCATTAGCTACCCAGAATCATAAAAATCGAGGAGTGTAAAGTGCTTACTAGATCTGAAAGAGACCAATTAAAACAAATTAAAAACCAAAATAATATGTCTTGGATTGATAATTAATATCTAGCCATTCTTTCAATCAATCAGAATAGAGCTGGAAGGGACCTTGGAGGTCTTCTAGTCCAACCCCCTGTACAAACAGGAGACCCTATGCAATTTGAGACAAGTGGCTGTCCAGTCTCTTCTTAAAAACCTCCAGTGATGAATCACCCATAAACTCTGAAGGCAAGCTGCTCCACCGGTTAATTGTTCTCACTGTTAGGAAATTTCTCCTTAATTCCAGGTTGTTTCTCTTTGAATATGTGTAGATTTTTTAAGCTTCCATAGTCTCATCCAAAAATGAAACATTCCCTGCTTTCATCCTACATTGTGGCTCTTGAAAGAGAAATAAATCAAGAGTGGGTGTTTTTGCTTAGAAGGACTTTTGATCTTGGATCTAATAAATTCCTGGGCTGAGATGTTATCAGAGGCAGCCTGGACTTAATATTTAGTGCACATTGATCTGCAATATTATTATTATTTTTGCCTTGAGTAGAATAGAATAGAATAAAACAGAAGATAGAACAGAATACTGTAGTTCTTTATTGCCAAGTGTAATTGGACACACAAGGAATTTGTCTTTAGTGCATAAATTCTCAGTGTACACAATGTCAGTGTACACAATTATAGACAATTTTATACAGGTTCCTTTTGGGGTGGGGGTCTGGGAGGAGAATGTCTGAGTCAGAAATTCTATTTCCCTACCTCCTCAGCACGGACAGCGCATCCTTACCTCCCGCTTTGGCGAAATCAATAGATGGGGCAAGATACACCCTCCCACTTATCCCTCCTTCAGATGATCCTTTACCTGTCACTCTGACATGGATGTCGTAGTGTGTCTCTCCGTAATCATTACTCAGCACGATCCGATAGAGTCCAGAATCGATGCGTTTGGTGCTATGGATGAGGAACTGGGAGTGATGCTTGCCTTTTGTAATGCTTTCTCTCCCCTTTGTGGGAACCCCGTCTTTTTGCCACACAACATTGGGAGGAGGAGAGCCCTGTTGGAGACAAAGAAAGCAGGAGAGAAATCCTTCTCATGCTAGGGTCCCCCCACCCCCAGTCTTTTAATCAACCCTTTTCTCTATTTAGAATTCTACTCCCTTATAAGGAAGGAGGTGGAGGAAAAGCAGGAGAATAAGATGAGCAGGAAATGCTCTGGATCTTGCTATTTCCACATTGTGGGTTGTTGTTGTTTTTTTAATAAAAATGCATCATACAGGATACTGAAACTTTTACATATCGAAATATTCCCTCAGGAGGCGATATCTTAGCGTAGGGAAGCTGAACAATCAGGGCAGATGGAGGAAAAGCCATCAAATTAATGGGTTACTGCTACTTCCTCTTCTTCTTCCTCCTCCTCTCCTCTCATCTGACTGATTTTATCTCTTTTTCCTCTCTCCCCCCCCCATCATCCAACATACTGTCATGAAAAAAAAAATTATTTTTTCCCAGAGGTTACTATCGCTTGGTTGGAAATAATCTTACCAAGAACTTAAAAGCCACCAGTGCTTCAGTCCTGTTTTGAAGAAACACGCTCAGCTGAGGCTTAGCATCCCTAATCACCAAGTAGGCTCTTTGAGGCTGTGGTGGCAAAAGGACCACCTGGAGCAATCGTTACACCCAGTCAACTACTCTGTGAAACAAGCAGCAGAGTAACAAAGGACTCCTGAATCATAAAAATCATTCAGGCTATAATTGGAGAATAGTAGGGAATCCCTATGGTGGAAAGCTTGGCCTGACCCAACAATGGAGTCTCCTGGTGTAGATTTGAGCAGCAATTACAAGGTTCATAAAACCCTAATTAGTCCAATATCCCAACTGGCATTAGCCTCTCTTACAGATTAGGAGTAGGAAAAGCAGCAGCTTGAATATGCATAGCTTCCCACTAAAATAGTTATATACATACAAGCTGCCACCTCTTCTTGACAAGCTTCTTTTTCTGGCCTGAATAGGTTTCATATATGACCTGTCAACCTCAGAAATTATACTTAACATCCACACATATCTGAGATTACACATATCTGAGATTTTTTACTTTTCAGTAGCAACTAGAGTGGCATGCTGTTTAAAACAAGAATGAAAACATTCACGGTCAAATTAAAACCAACCCAGGGGTGGAATTCTACTGGTTCAGCCCGGTTCTATAGAACTGGTAGCTCTGAAGAGCAGCTGATACCGAACCGATTTGCTGCGATGATTTCTGGTCGTCTGTTTGGCCCACCTGCCTGCCCGGGCTCTAGGTTGTGCTTTATCCCCTGCTTTTTCCTCCTCAGCTGCTTTGCATGGCACAGCTGAGTGCCGCTCGAAAGCAGAAGAAGTTGAATGGCTTGCCAGAGCAGGTAATTTATAAATAGTGTGCACATGCGCACGAAGCGTACGTTCACCGAACTGGTTGTTGTGACGATAGGATCCCACCCCTGAACCAATCGCAGTAACAGTAACAATAACTACTCAAAACTACAAAACAAAAACATAAGAAACAATATAAAGGGGGGGGGAAAGCAATGAGAAGAAGGTGCCATCTTACAGAAACTTACAAAAAGATTTCTAAAGTAACCCAGTTTTTAACATTTTCTGAATAGCCAGCAAGGAAATGGCCAGCTTGATTGCTTTTGAGAAGCTCCCGCTTTCTAGCCTGGTGCCTTAATTACTAGATCAAACTGGTTTCTATATCTCTATAGTATACATAGATATATCTTAATGTTATGTCCCACCTTCTAAAATAAACAGTTAAGGCTGAAAGCAGCAGTCCTTGTAAAGAAAGGCAGCAAACAGGAATTTTCACAGATAGCTCCAATAAGTAAAAGTTCCAACGAACTAAATCCAAGACTCAACAAGATTCTTCA